ATTATTAGGATTAAAAAAAAGTAAGTCTTCATTGGAGTTCTTTTGAATATAGTTATGCAATGCAAAGGCTGCCACTATCACATCAATTTGTGTATTGATGCTAAATTTTGGTATTCTTTTAAATATCCTTCATCTCTTCTTAAGTACTCCAAATGATCTCTCAATACAACTCCGGAGTGACGAATGTGCACGATTAAAAGCTTCCTCAGCATTAGTGGGCAACTCATTCTCAAACTGGGACTGATGATATATGATCTTTGGATATGGTACGAGGTACCCTTTTTGATCAAGGTAGCCTTTATCTACCAAGTAATATTGACTTACAAAGAACGGGTTTAGTTTATTATACATAATAAATTTATATCGACCTACAAAGCCTCCAATCTCGTTTCATGGAATAAAATTTATTCTTGAAACTCTTGGTGTTGCAAACGATTTTAGTATGCTCTTCGAGTTGGTTTTCGATTACTCACCCCTTGAAAGGAGTAGTTTGACCGTCCTTCATAATCCACTCAATACATTTTTCACAAAATATGATAACAAGATCTTCCGCTGACACAAAATTCTGACACTCTTGATTGTCATTCTTGGAGGCCATCTATTTGAGTGTGCATAAATATTACGGAGTAAATAACAACAACGCAGCTAAAAAATAGTACAATGAAAAGTATAAAATGCTACGAGGTTCCACAAAAATTTGAAAAGCAAATACAAAACAATAAAAAAGCAGTAAAATACAGTTGTTTGGGCACACATAGCAATTCCTATGTAGGCACTTTATTAGTTTGAATAATAACGATCAATTAAGCATCAATATTCCTATTTATGATGCCAAATCTTGACACTCATGAATCACGGAAGTAATACACTCATTTTGGTGTTAATAAACAGTGTTACATGCATCGAGTTGTTTTTGTGGATTGCACAACAAAAACATAACAACAAAAAACTTGGTAAAAAAGAAAACATAAAAAAAACCAAACAAAATTAAAAAAATATAAACTCAACTAAAACAACAATATAGTAACTAGAAAACGGCACACGCACAAAAAGATAAAAGAAAGTAAAAGTAGAAAAATTTATAGGTGATAACACCAAGGAAAAAACACGGTACAAACATTGCACCATAAAAAGTTATAGCGAACATTGAACCAAACAGCATAATATGAATACACAAAAACTTGGAAAAGAATCGGGGAAATAAACACATAAAACCATTAATAAAGCAAAATAATAATCAAAGGAGCAAGAAATACATCAAAACAACAATATAGTGACTAGAAAACAACAGACACACGCAAAAAGAAAAAGAAAAATAAAAGTAGCAAATTTCAGGTGATAACAGCAAGGAAAATCCAGTAAAATCATTTTACAATAATAAATTACAACAAAAACTGGACAAAAATACAGAATATTAACACACAAAAACTTGAAGAAAAACAGGAAAATAAACACGGAAAACCATTAATAAAGCAAAATAATAATTAAAGGAGTAAGAAATACAACAAAAAACAGTCACTGTATTGAACCAAAGAAGGATGAACAACTTAGGGAAAGCAACAACTATTATCCTAAAAAATTAGCATTATTATGAAAGAGCAGAACATGGGCATTCAACAAATACACAACCCAAAAAAAGCTGCCAAGGTATTTGTCGATAATAACCAATATCAAGAAATATATTCCAATTCCTAAAACAGAGATTAAAAATAAGTAAAAATCTAACACAAATTTTGAGTACGATTTTTACCAAATTGATGCAAAAGGGTAAAATATATCAAGCTTGAATATCACACAAATTTTGGCTACGAATTGTTAAGCAAAACTAAAAAATTCAGGCCTGGTCTGATCTGATCTGGTATACTGAAAACGGTCCAAGTAAAACATCCTAAAACAGTGATGAATGAAAGGGTTTAAGAAAGATAAACAAAATGAGGAAGAAGATGGAACCTACTTGCAGATTTCCAGATGGGGATATTGATAAGTGAAGGAAAATTTGAAATCAGAGAAGAACAATGGATGGAGCACAGGGTTATACGAGGAATACACGCAAAAGAGGAAAAATATCTTTTCAATGAACGCTACCTTGCGTCTATGTTGCACCAATCACGTATCCGCATATCCGATACGTATCCGTATCCGATACTCACCGATACGTGTCATGTACGTTACGGTACGTATTGGGTCCGTATCCGTAATTTAATAAAAGTATCGGACTTAATTTTAAAAACACCGATACTACCGATACCCGTATCCGTGAACCGATACGCACATCTGACCCTATAACCCCTCATTTAATACACGACATGACAAAAATTTAGTAGCCGCCCAAGCGACCACAAGATGTGGAACATTGATAAACATGGTTTCGGGAGTATGAAAAATAATGGAATACTATAATTTATCATTTTATCGCTTGATGAGCTTTAATTGAAACAAGACTAGATGTAAATGCAAATAGAGAACAAAAAAAAGTTATTTGAATTCAAATCAAAATATCATTACTTTAGTTTTTTTAGCCTAATCTTTGAAATTTCATTATAATAGTTAATTGTTTGTACTATTATTATTTTATTTATGAACCCCTGAATTATATATATTTGCAAATTATACCCTATATTTTTATTATAAATAAATATACCCCCGTACCTGTATCCTATTATTTTTCAAATTGCCGTATCGCGGTACCCGTATTTGCGTATCGGCGTATCCGTATCCGTGCAACATAGCCCTGCGTAATGTCTAGTAGAAGACCGGAAAAAACAAATTGAGCTAAGGTGTTCTACTAAAAAAAGTTAGCAGCTTTTGCATGCCAAACATAGTCTTAGTCTTTCTTTTAGACAAATACTCTTACAAGATGTTCTCTTCGTCTTATTCTTATTATTTATTGCTTATTCTTATTTTGTTCAGATTAGATCAGAAAAATTAAGATCAGATCAGAAAGATTTAGATCAGATTAGACTAGATCAGAAACATTCAGATCAGACCAGATCAGAAAAATAAATTATATTAATTATAATTATTAATATTATAATTATTGTTAATAATATTAATAATAATAATAAAGTTATTATATTATTATTATAATATTATTATTGTTGTTGATATAATAATAATAATAGTATAATTTATTATTCTAATAATATTATTATTGTTATATTATAATAATAATAAGATTTCTATTGTTATAATGTTATTATTGTTATATTATAATAATTTACTACAATAGTAATATTATAATTGTTATATAATAATAATAATATAATAATAATAATTAATATTATTATTATTATTAATTATTATTATTATTATTATTATTATTATTATATGGAGTAATTATAATTCTATTTATAATTATAGTTGTAATTATAATTATATAAATAAATGTTATTATGATAATTACAATAGTAATTATATAAGTAATTATAATTAGAAAATAATTACAATTATAATTGTATCTATAGTTATAATTAGCGTAAATGTGTAATAGGCATAATTATTATAATTATAAATTTAATTTTAATTATTATTATATTATTTATAATTATGATTATAATTATAATTTTATTTAATTTATATCTTTAATTACAATTACAATTATAATAATTATAATTACAATTACAATTATAATTATAATTATAATTATAATTATAGTTATAATTATAATTATAGTTATAATTATAGTTATAATTATAGTTATAATTATAATTATAATTATAATTATAATTATAATTATTGTAATATTGAAATCAGATTATATCATAAAGATTCAGATCAGATCAGAAACATTCAGATCAGATCAGACCAGATCAGACCAGATCAGAAAGATTCTGATCAGATCAGATCAGATCAGAAAGATTCAGATCAGAAAAATCCAGATCAGATCAGAAACATTCAGATCAGGTGAAGAGAACATCTTCTTACTTAATGAAGTATACCATATTTATTTAATTATCTTAAGTTTACTTATTTCTTAAGAAAATTATTTACATTTTGAGATTTATTAAGTTTTAAACCATTTTCTTGGACATAGGCTTTGTTTGCAAACACTACTCCTAAGTGCTTTTAACTTTTTAAAGTGATTTGGGAAAAAGTGATTAATAGTAAAAATTGGTAGTGTTTGAGAAAAAAATGATTTTGAAAAGTAGAAGTTGGTAGTGTTTGATAAAATAAGTGTTTTTTGTGTAATAGAAAAAATAAAAAGTAGATTGTAGATTTTAACTTTTAAGTATTAATTTAAGTGGAAGTTGTTACTTGAAAACACTCTTTTTAGCTTTTAGACTAAAAGCTGAGAAATGTTTTTTTTTTCAATATTTGTATACAAAGCCATATATGTTTAGACCTATCCGAACCGTGTCCATCCCTACTACAAACTCTCTTATTTAGAAAAAAAATATACGAAATACGTAGTATTGAGAGCCCGTTTGGTAGCACCAAAATCAATTGTTTGGACTGATTCTGCTGAAATTTATGATGTTCTAGCTGAAGTGGTTGAATCGGCTGATTATGCTGATTTAAGAAAAAATTATTTTTAAAATATATTTATAAATAAAATAAAGAAAAAATATATGTAAAAATAGCTAAAATAGTCATCTATAGTAACTTCAGCCAATACAGCTATAAAAGTAACTGCAACCTTACTTTTTCTGCTTATTACACAATTCAGCGCGCTAAAACAAAAGTTAGGTGTTTGGTGAAAAAGTTGACTAATAAGCGTGATAAGCCGAAAACTAATCTTGCCAAACGGCCTTTGAAATTGTCAAACATTTTTATTTCTATTTTGAAAATTTTCTCCTTTTCTAATACAGATTATAAATTCAGACGAAACAAGCTATGGACCTAATAATTGAAAACACATGCTACTATGATTTAAGTGCTACTCCGTACTAAAAAGGTTGCTTATAAAATCATTAACTCTATTAAATTTATAATTAATGAATCATGATCCCTCTAATTCTTCTCGGTAATCTATATTGGAGTCGCAAAACTAAACTATGGATGCCCTCTTTCACTCTAAAGTAACGCCAAAAGTGAACGTTGACGGTGTCGTATCTTCAGCGCCACATCACACGATTTTCTCTCCCTCTCCTCTCTCTCCCCATTTCGAATCTCTCTAAAGCTCTCTAGCTACATTGACGATCAGACTTCGAAACCCTACCCACTTCACCAGACCTTAGCTTCTTCCCATTCTCTACAGCTTTTTCTGCTGTCGATCCTGGAGGTGAAAGATTCCAAGTGTGCTTGAAAGAGCAGGAGGAAGGGGAAGGCCTTTATGAACAGATCAGAACTGCCTGGTAATACCGATTCATTTTGACGCCGTTATAAAATTATTGGGTCTCTTCAGTTTTCCTGGTCTCAAATTGGGAAATGCCGACGCGATTTAGCATTTCCATCGATTTACAAGTGTGGGGACTGGAAAAGATCTTGCCTTTTGTGCAAGATTTGTTCTTGACTCGAAGTTATGACCTTTGTATTCTCATCGTGAACCCATGGTTAATACTCTGTATTTCATTATTGGGTTTGGTTAACTAGTGAAAAAGTTATTTTTTTTTTCCTAAAATGATCCTAACACCTCATAGGAAACAATAAATGTGTATATTGTGCTTATAACATTTCAAAATTGATGTATTATGTATAAATAACTTTGGGAAAATTATTAATTTTTTAGTCACATTTAACTTTTTGTTGTGATCTTGGAATTCGTCATGAAACTTAAAGTAATGCACATTAATTTCTTTTTAGCATGTGCCCATGTGCAAGGCAAGCATGGGTGAGAAAATACCAAATGCCTTGATATTTATTTCTACTGGATTGCAAGTCTTTGCCTTTTTCCTTTTTTCTTCTTCTTAGGTTCAATAAAAGCACACAGCATACATTGAATTCACTTCAAATGGATTAGGATTGAAGTTTTAGTTTTTTTTAATAGAAAAAGGCTATTTTTAATGGAAATCACTCTGAACTTCTTGAGACTGGTCACTAGATGTTAATGCTGATTGGAAAATACAATCGAGCAGGCTTGTGTTTCACGATCTGGTAGTGTTTCAAGACTGAATGAACCAATGGAGGTCGAAAAGCGAACTCTGAAGGGAGGTTTTCTGCATTTGTTTGATTGGAATCTTAAATCCCGAAAGAAGCTTTTCTCTAGCAAGGCTGAAGTACATGGCAAGTCTTTTCCTTTGCAGTATTTAATGTTGTGAAGTTCAACATTCATTTTCTGCTTTTGATGCATAGAGCTGGATATGATGTTAGTCTTCTTTTTTGCTATAGAAAGTTCCAAACAACGAAAAGAATATATCAACGAAGACAATTCCGAATTTCAGAAGGTACACACTCATCCCCTCTTTCTCTCTCATTTTACTGAAGAGGTATAGTTTATTCGTGTTGTTTACTTATGGATAAGAGTTTATCAATGTTGTTTATGTTCTTGAAGGTGAATGATTATAGAAATGGCATAGATGTGAAACAAAACTATGATTCTCACTCGAATTCATCAGTCAGTGGAGATGAAGTTTATGGGCAAAGACCACCTGGGGTTGTCGCACGCCTTATGGGCCTTGATTCTTTGCCGACTTCACAAGTTTCTGAATTTTATCAAGCTCCACCACCTCCATATTGCCAATCTTATAGAGATTCTCATTACACAAGAGCAACTAATGACTTAAAAAAAGAACACCAGATTGTTGTATATGAAGACATCCGGAATAAATTGGATGGATTAAGTAAGAATCCAGTCGAAATGAGGCTTAAGAAGTTACAAAACCTCCCAATCGAGAGGTTTCAAACTGAAACATTGCCTCCAAAATCGGCTAAGACAATCTCTGTTACCCGACATAGGATGTTATCTCCTATAAAGAGTCATGGGTTTATCCCCCCTAAGAATGCAGAATACATAATAGAGGCTTCTTCCAGAATAATCCAGCAAAGTCCTAGATTAATAACCAACAACATGATGCAGCAGGGAGGCACTTCTTCAGTTCCTTTGAGAATCCGAGACCTAAGAGAGAAAATGAATGCTACCCAGAAAAAGAAAATTGGTGAAGCATCTCAGAGTGTTAGATACCACCATTCTTATAAACATATGAAAAGACAACCTGCTGAGAGTTTCTTAGATGTTTCTCACAGTAAGGGTAGGGATAAATCTGTTTCACTTGCAGTTCAGGCGAAAACCAATATTCAGAAAAGGGAAGGGTCAATTCCAGGCAGTAATAATAACACGAATGATGTCACTTTAAAGGAACACAATGAGGGGAAGTATGGTAGTAGGAAGAGGTCAAATGGAGAAAAGAGTGTGGAGAAAAGAAAAGCCAGTAAGCCTTCCAATGTACTGAGGCAGAACAACCAGAAGCAGAATGGTTCATCAAATAAAGACGAGGAAAGCCCAAAACCTTCAGTCTCTTTCCCAAGAGAGAGGAAATCTTCTTCTTCAACTGAATCATCTAGGCCCCTTAAGACAGTTAAAAAAGTCGTTTTAAATAACAGGAATAGTTCTGGAGCTGGAAGGTCTATAGTAAGTGATATGCTAAAAGAACCCTCTTCTTCTAGATCAAAGACATGTTCCAGAAAGAAAATACCAGGCAATGATGATATTCTTTCTAATGGTACTCTTTCCAACAATGTACTCAAGAGCAATGATGAAAAGTCTGTAAAATGCAATGTCACAATTGAAGGATGTACTGAATGGGACAGAGTTGAGAAAAGAAACGGCAGTGATGTAATTTCCTTTACATTCACATCCCCCATAAAGAAAACTTTGCCAGATTCCACACCGTTTGCCCGAAATACAGAAAATAAAATTTTATCTCTTGTTTCAGAGTCTCGTGACATTCAGTCCTTGCAGAAATCATCCATAGCATGGCCTTTAGGTATGAACATAATGGGAGGGGATGCTTTGGGAATTCTATTAGATGAAAAGCTGAAGGAGCTGACTTTCAAAGTATCATCTGGGCAAGACTCTGCATCCAGTGACGACATCCCCAACATCACATCCGCAGAACATTTCAAGTCTAAATTCTGTCCGTCTGAAGAGAAAACAGAAGTCCAGTGTGACTTTGTTTCTGCTCCTCTTGTTGCACTTCAACCAAAAACAGATAAATTTCAGGTACATTTAGAAGTCCATTTTCATAAGCGTTGTGTATATCAATCAATTCCTCTCAATATTTTATCAAAATAAGTTTGAATCAGTATAAAAGAGCTATATTACTATTCATGTAATACTAGTAATCAATTGTTTGACAAAAAAATCTCCTGCACTTGAGCTAATTACTCTTGTCAAGCTTTAAAAACAGATACACGGCAACATCAATATTCAATACACACATTAATTGGTGTAAGTGTTTGCTCAATTTTCTCCTAATTAGTTGATCCAATTTTATTTTTGCGGTCTTTCTTATGTTCTTTATCCTTTAATTTTGTATCTCATGTTTTTTTATCCTTTTTATCTTATCTTTATCTTTATCTTATCTTTATTTAATCTTTTTTATTTTTTATATCTTATCTTATCTTTTTATCTTTCTTATCTTTTTAGCTCCGATTTCATGTGTCGATGTCCCCAAACTCTTTTGGAACAAAGGCTTGGATGTTGTTGTCGTCCAAACCCATTTGTTTCCCTTCACTTTCACCCCTACTCGACATGAAAGCAGTTTGTTTGAAATTTGACTTTTAATATAGTTTGTCATTCCATTTGGTTGTCATTTTTATTATTACACAGTATTCTTTGCAGCAACATGGTCGCTGTATCTATTTGTTCTCCATCTCTATGAATTGACTAAATGCATCATGCTTTTATTTAGTCTGTCAAACTACAATCATGTTCTGTTTTTTGGTGCTATTTTTCAGCAATCAGAAGATATAGAAGACGATCTCAATAGAAGCTATATTGGACATGAAAGAGAATTTAATTCTCAATATCTTAGCCCAGCCTCAACATTAGAGTCTTCTGTCTCAGGGGACAGCTACAGTATGTCAGATAACAATGAAAGCTTTGATGTAGATGGTAATTATCATCTAATTCTCTTATATAAATGATTGTTTTCTCAATACTTTGTGCCTTCCACTGGAGTATATTACTTGGGCGGTTTTTTGTATGACTAATTAGACCTTGTCCAAATTAAAGACTTTAATAAATTTGTATAGAGCAAATATTTCATAACCAGGAACTACTAAATGGAAGAATATATTCAATGTAGTGGGTTCATTATATTTGGGTCTACATACCTATACTTGTGTTGAATTTAACGATTTACATTTCTGGAGAAAAAATAAAAAGGAGAAGTCCTTGAATATGGCTTTTAAATGTGAGGGACACATTTCTTTTACAATTTTTGGATGATGTATTTTCATTAAGAAATGACTCTTATCTTATGGTTCTGTTTGAATGAAGGAAAGTATTCCATATAAAAACATTATTTAAACACGTATGCGACTAGAGGTGGAAAACATTTTATTTGAAATTAAATATTTCTGTGAAAAATGGACTTCCTCTTTATTGGTTTGGTGTGTGGGTTAAACATTATATTACGTATATTTGAAGTTCATACTACCATTTATGTAGATTTTTTTTTTATATATTTAGTTAAGGATAGTGTTATTTTGTGAATGTCTTTTAGCTACTACCATTTACTTTCTTTAAAATCAACAAATTGATCGATGGCTTACTGGTACTTTCTTTTTCTTTGAATGAAAATATAAATTCATATCAAATGTACACTGAATGTATCCTCAATGTGTGTTATTCTCAAAATAAATTTCATTCCAATGAAGATGCAATGTGGTTTCAGGAACAAACAATCGTTTTGCTGGATCACACAGAGTGCGGGATAGGAACTCTTCAATAACACTCACCACAGAAGATGATGCTGAACTAATAGACTCTGCTTCCTCGCTTTCAATAGCTAACAGAAACAGGGAGTCAACCATTGCATTCATGTGTGCTGACATGAAGGGCTCAACCTATTGGGAATTGGAATATATTCGGCGTATTATCAGAAATGCAGATTTGACAAGAAATGACAAGTCTTTTTCAACCGAGACTCACAATTTCATATCTGCCAATCTCTTTGACCAGCTAGAGTTGCATAAAAACGGGTCCAACAAAAGCTTAGAAGATTCAAAACACATGCGAAAGGTACTTTTTGATTGTGTGGTAGAGCGTTTGGAGGCCAAAAATGAAGAGTCTGTCAGTGGGAGTTTCCAGAAGTGGGAAAGATGGAACATGTTGGTGGAGAGGAAGGAGTGGCTTTCAGAAGAACTTTACAGAGAGGTGTCATGTTTGACTGAGATGGAAGAGTTGATGGTGGACGAGGTCGTGGAAAAGGACATGAGTACCCGAAATGGTAAATGGATCGAATTCGGGTCAGAGGAACTAGAATTAGGTATTGAGTTTGAGACGGCGATACTGACATCATTGGTAGAAGAATTGGTGTTTGATATCTCTTGCTGTCATGGTGGAGGTATCCTTTAATGAAGGACTTGTATTAATCTATTCATATATAGCAGCCACCTTTATGCAACTGTTCTCTCCATATAATTGAGCCTCCTCTCCAGCCCTTAGCATTTTAGGGGGTCATCATGCATATGTTCACAAGTCTTTATTTTTTAACCTTTAGATTATTGTATCTGGCAACCTGTGATTAAAGAAGATTAGTGGATAATATCTTATGTTCAAGCCTCCAGCTCACTAATATTTACTCCATCCCCTTCTTTAACCTGTGATAAAAGAAGTTTACTCCATCACTAATTTTAGGGGGTCCCCTTTAAAGACTTTTCCGGTCATTCATACCAAACTTGTTCGTTAGTGTATCTATACGAAAGTTTTTATACTTTATAATATGAAATGATATGAAAATGTTTTTTTCCGGTTAAAATACTATCATAAAAGTATAAAACTCGCAGCTTTCATCAAACCACATTAATCAAAATGATTGATCAAATTTATCATCATGCTTAAAGTTACTTGAGAACTACCATTTTATCATATGATATTATGATTATCCTGCAAATACAAAACTATTTGGTAACAAATTTTGATATAAAAATTGTTTGCTAGCAAGAAGCATTGAGCTCAACACCCAGGACCCAGCTATGGCAGTCAAAATGGGTCTAACTTGCCGGGTTGGCTGTGTTTAGTCCACTTTTCAAGTCGATTGGGTTAGTGAAATATCAACCCGTATTAAAAGGGTCTACTTTGTCCATTGTCAAGATACTGCCTCTATGATCTATGCCTCCCACATGACTAGGAAATAGGAATATTGAAAGAAGAAAAACTGAAAAAGTAGTCAAGTTTGAAAACTACAAAGAGAGAAGCTAAAAAGTACAATTTTCAAACTTCAAAAATTATACGAGTAATGATTATCTTAAAAAGATACAAGTAGTACTTAGAGAATAATACTAGGGATGTCAAAAAAAACCGACCCGCAGTGACCCGCCCTGGCCCGAGCCATTTGGGGCGGGTCCGGCCCGCCCCGTCTTCCAAATGGGGCGGGTCCGCCCCGCCCCGCCTAGACAATGGGGCGGGTCCGGGTATTAGTATTGACCCGTGCCGCCCCGCCCCGCCCCGACCCGACCCGCTCAATACGTAAGCATACATACTTTTTCTTAAATTATACTACAAATATACTTCAACATACATATGTGTGTTTACAGTAAATCATAAATTCTTTGATCTTATAATATATTAAATACATATATTAGAATGAGATGAACGACGGATTATCAATGTCTTCTTTATATATAGCATTTTAATACATATGTTCAATTATTAGTATAATTAAATACATTAACTATTCAATTCTGAGTATTTTTTTTTAATTTTTGAAATTTTTAGGCTATCATGAATTTGATTTAATATATTAATTTTTAATTATTATTTAGAGATAAACTTTATGTAGATTCAATTGGTAACAACTTCCCACAAATAAAAATACATACTAGCTAATTAGGTTACGACGGGGCGGGGCGGACCCGCCCCGCATGGGGCGGGTCATGGGTCAACAAGTTTGGACCCGTGCAGGTCACGGGGCGGACCCGCCCCGCCCCGCCAAGTCACGGGGCGGGTCTGGGTCTTGCGGTACCCGCCCCGCCCCGACCCATTGCCATGCCTAAATAATACTCCCTCCGTTCTTTTTTATTAGTCATTCTTTCCTTTTTGGGACGTTTTTTTATTTGTCCTCCTTTCCCTTTAAGGAAAGTTTTTGAGAAAATACCCCCACTTTTATTACTTTTACCCCACTTACTTTTTACAAACTACTTTCTCTTTCCTACTTTATCATCACTTTACTATTCTTAATACACTCTCTTTCGTACTTTATCATCACTTTACTCTTTTTAATATACCATCTTTCCTACTTTATCATTTACCCTACACACTCTATACTTACCCTACTACTTTATTATTAAAACCCGTGCCAAATCCTAAGAAGACTAATAAAAAAGAACGGAGGGAGTATATTATATTATACATTTTTATTATAATGATTGTCTTAAAAAAAATCATGTGTGGCACACCAAAATCGAAGTGCTAAGGGGCTCTTGGGTTTTATTCTTTCCCTTCTAGTGCACGCTAGACCTGGAATTTCAGGGATGGATATAAGAATTTGTGTTGTACTAAGACTCCTTGAAGAATGATACTCCCTCCGTAACATATATATGTTCTCATTTGAAAAGTAGGTAGATTAAGAATAGTAAAAGGAATATTAATTATTGAGGGTATGAATGTATGATGGGAAGATAGTGAAATAATGTGATGGAATGAAGGATAAATCCAAAAAAAGTAGGTGTAATAGTGTATTATTTTTAAAATTATTGGGGGTATGATGGGAAGATTTAGAAATGGGAAGATATGAATGTTACATCTAAAAAAGAAAAGTGGGAATATATGAATGTTACGGAGGAAGTAATACTTAATGTTGATATTAATTCCATGTTGATACTATTAATTCCATTATTAGTTTTTTATCCATAAAAACTAAGTAATAGAGAAGAAGAATTAAGTAAAAAAGAAATGATCAATGGGATTCCTTGAAGTTTGGTGCATTATCATCTAAAACTCTCTATTATCAAAAATATGCTCTTACGCTCCTTTCTTCTAATTTTTTCTAATTTACATTTAGAGAAAATTATAGATTTAGTCATGGGGAAGCGGTCTAGTTCAATTAATCGTCGACTCACTCTCTCATACGGGAGCTCTCAAGTTCGAAACTTCATGAATGGAGTTTCAGTCTATTTTACCCCAGGCTCCCCCAAGGCCCTCTCCCTGACCTCCCTTGGGGTGAAAAAAAGTCTTGTCACTATTGGTTGTATCTGCTTATAGTCCTATAACTTTAATTTACTCACTTGTAAATGTGTTCCAATGATTAATAAATTTGTCCATATTAAGGATCTTTCCCTAAAAAGTAGAATTTGCGATGGAAAATATGATGTCGATGACCTCGAATTCTTACACTTCTCGAATAGTGTCAAAAATTAAGTGAGCTTGCAAAGTTAGGGTGTTTTTATTTGAATGTATAAATATATACTTTGAAGTCTCGTCCGGTGCCGTATACATGCATATATATAATTTTGTCACTTGTACATGCATATATTAATATATACATACATGTTTTGTCTGTGAATGAGATTGATTTCAGACATGTTTGTTGAATTCATAGACCAAAAAATAATCTTCTCGATCATAGAGATGTGTACAAGGTATTTATAAGAACGTGTGTACAAATAAATAATCTTCTCAGGGAGTAATATTTTACAAATACTTATTGCTTAATTATATGTTTGTCTATCTTAAAGTTGTTTTTCAGCATATACCCTAATAATATAATTAACCGGCCTACTTATACATTAAAGGCCTTGTTTGGTAAATGGCTTATCAGCCAGTTTTTGGCTTCTTTGACCACAATTAATAACTTTGACTTTGTTAAAAGCCAACATTGATGTTTGGTAAATGGATTGTTGATTTAGATTATTGGATCCAATAATCCGAAATCTGAAACGCTGCCTACCCCAGCGTTTAGCATCGGCTTTTGGATTTTTCCTTTTCCTACCCTCTCTGTTTGGCGCAAGACACATTCAATTATCTCTGTTTTTTTATCTTCGTTGTCTTCTCCTAAAGAAATTCTTCCGCTGGCTTCTCCAAATTCTCAATCAAAGTATATATTCTTCATCTATCTAAAAGTAGGGAGGTATGTATTCCAACTCACCTGAACCCATCCCCAGTTTCCACCATGGCAATCAACAAAATGCTTCTCAAGGTGGGCATCACAAACTGGCCTGTACGGGTAGCTAATGTAAATTGCACTCCATATGTATTAAGGTTATATTGAGATTTGCAACTGTGATTTCAATAGAGAGGTTATTAACATTCCGTAAAAAAAAAAATTAATCATAACAAATTTTATTTTATTTGTCATGTAGTTGTATTTATCACTTCTTTAATTATCTAAAATACGAAGGATTTTAACTCTATAATTAATTGTAGGTAACATCGTTTTATAAACATTAGTTAAAAAAATGTCCTTATATGTCTTTTTACACTCAAACAGCTAATTTGGAACAGCTAATTACCAAACAATTTTTTATAAGAAGCTAACTTAACCAGCCAACCAAAACAACTAACACAACCAGCTATTGTCAAACCGCTATCATAACCAGCTAAAGCTAACAGTTAACAGCTGATTGCCGGCCAAAGTCTTGATCCGCCATGCATACATAATGCAACAAATTAGACCGTTTGGTGCACATGCACATGCTCGTCCCTACAGGATCGGATCATATATCATATATATGGTGTCCGGTCGGATCGGAGATCATTGATCTTCTTGGCCACACAATCGAATAGCGGCCGGGCGGTCCACAGCTCACCAAAGAAGAGAGGCCGGTGTTGAAGCAAGCTAATTAGAGCCCAGGCTTAACTAATCAATTACATTAATTAATTAATCACGACTCGGACTCACTATTGATCGAGCTGTCTTCTTCTACCTACCGACCGGGGTTCACTTCAACCCCTTCCTCTCATATACTCCATACTCATCCGTAGCCGATGAGCTTATTAGCTCAATTGGTACTGATGGTACCATGGACTCGGACCATGGCTCAATTACACAATTCAGCCTATAACGTGATTAGCCTAATTAACAGAATTAGTCCATGACGGGATCAGCCCTTAAACGGGATTAACCTAATTAACAGGATTAGCCCATAAACGGGATCAAACCCTAAACAGGATTAATGTTTGATAAGCCGCCAGGCCCAAATGGGAATTAGGCCCTGATGGAGTATATGGCCCAGGAACCCCCGGCCCATAGACTCCTACTTCTCCTACACAAGTCCATTGAGCCCAGAGAACAACTCAGGTCCAAATGCAACGGCCCAAACCTCAAAGAAATCCGGAACACACACTGGGGTGCCTTCGGCCTTATTGGCCGAAGGCTCCAAAACTCACAGGTTAGCCTTCTCTGGCATAAGAAGCTACTGAGAGAAAACGGCGAAAAACATGAGCCTTCGGCATCATCAAGCCTTCGGCTGAATCAAGCCTCCGGTCACACAAGGCCTTCGGCTACACAGGGGTCCTTGGTCACATGGAGCCCTCGGCCACACGAGGAGCCTTCGGCCAAACATGCTCAATCATCGAAGATTCCTTTTGGAGACAGCCAACCACCGCATTTAATGCCACGTCACATCCGCCAACCGCATTCAATGCGGTGAACGTACCACTGCCGGTGCCACCCGGCTGATGTGACCCTTCGGCCGTTGGATTACTGACACGTGTACTCTCATCG